AGATACAAACTTTCAAAGTGAGTTACATCTGATTGAAAATTACACCATTTTATTTTCATGCAGGTAGTGTCAGTCACAGACAGGGGAGGTACGGCTAGGGCTGCATAAACAGAAAAAAAGTGATTGACTCCTAAATGGCAGAGAATTGAGCAGTGAGACAGCAGGGGCATAATCTATACACCAAAACTTCATTAAGCTAAAGTTGTTTTGGTGACTATAATGCCCAATTAAAGTTTTTCTGCATCTTGGAACAGGCATCAAAAGAGTGAACACGTGTCAAATATAGGTAGTATAAGATGTGTGTAAGAACCTAACAGCAGAAGGATGGAGCGTAAGCTAGGTTATGGAAAGGGAATTGAGGAGGGCAATTATAATGAAAAGTGTCATCCAGGAAGATAGTAGGTTATCCTAAAGAGCAGAGTTTTCAGTGACTTTTTAAGAGACTGGATGGGGAGAGTCTGATGGCATGGAGTAGGCAACAAAAGCCATGGATATGCTACATGGAAGCAATATGTGTGCAAAAGTTGAGTGAAGCACAGTTTAGAGCAGTAGGAAAATACAAGGATCATTTGCCAGAATAACCATTTATGAAACTGTGCTCAGTAAGTGTGCCATGGCTATAAAATCATGGCCATATTTATTTGCACTACCCTACTCTGTTGCAGCCTTGCTGTTAACTGCTTTATTTTACAAAGAACTTGGCAAGTGTGCTCTAGTAATCACTTCTCACAATGCACAACATCGGTGCTAGTTGCAACTGCATGCAGACTTTATGGAATGTTAATTCAAAAGTCATGGAAAAAAAGCTCCATGGATTTGGCATGGAAATGCTACAACCTTTAAATTGATAACAAAAACCTTAGGTCATGGGTAAAATCCATGCCACAAGGGCTTAAAGGGACACTATAGTCACCAGTGCTACTGCATGTATTCCTGACCCTATAGTGTTAACACGACCATCTAGCCCCCCTGGGCCCCTCGTGCCTCCATAAATATAGTAAAAATCTTACTGTATTCAAGCCAGAAGCTGTAAATCTGCATGCTGTTAGACTCAGGAAAAACAAGCAGTCTGCTGACATGTGATAGCCTGATCCAATCACAGTGCTCCCAATAGGATTGGCTGAGACTTACAAGGAGGCAGATCAGGGGCAGAGCCAGCATGATTCAAACACAGCCCTGGTCAATCAGCATCTCCTCATAGAGATGAATTGAATCAATGAATCTCTATGAAGAAAGTTCAGTGTCTGCATGCAGTGGGAGGAGATACTGAATCACAGGATGCTCGTGCACAGCAGATCTGAGTGGATGGAGGCATATTATGCCACCATCAACTCAGAAGTCCCTCTGGTTCACCCTGAGTGACTGCAACTGGAGGTGTTCCTAGCTTTCAATGTAAACACTGTATTTTCTCAGAAAATACAGTGTTTACATGAGAAAGGCTGCAGGGAGCTATAGTTCTCACCTGAACAACCTCATTAAGCTGAAGTTGTTCAGGTGACTATAGTGTCCCTTTAAAGTGAGTGGGTCATGACTGTCAGTTCAAAAAGGCAATTCAAAATAATAATAATTGAAATAGCTCTTTTTGATCATCTAATGAGATACTTCAGTAGAAAGACTTCCAGTGGCAGTATCTTAGAGATCAGAGGTTACGTTCCCATGTAGATCAGTTAAGCATTACATGCTTCCAAGGTAGATAATATTATAGGTAAGTTGGGTAAATATATCATAGATCCCAAAACACAGATCAAAACTAGTGAAAATCTAAATGTGAGTTTCTGGTAGGTTGCATTGAAATTATGAAGTAAAGACCCGCTAGTTGCGATGTTTTGAGAGAAAACTCAAAATACAGATGGTATTTAAATAATAACAATAGTGCCAGGAAAACAAACTTGTTTTCCTGGCACTAAAGCTTCCCCCTCCGTTAAATACCCCTTCTGTCACTTACCTGTGTTCAGCGCTGATGTCCCTCGGCACTGGCTCAGGTCCGCCTCTGCTCCTCCCCGCCGATGTCAGCCAGTGGGGGAGCCGTAATGTGCATGTGCAGCAATAGCTGCGCTCTCATTAGGATTTCCAAATTCTGGTGACGCTGAAAGTCCTCATGCATAACGTGAGGTCGTCCAGCATCGTTTAGGTGGCCAAAAGTCGCTTCAAGATGTAAGTCCTTTTAGTGGCTGTCTTGTTGTCAGGATAAGCCAGATGCAGTGCAGACACCTAGGTTACCTAGGTAACTTGTAAAATTGTTAGACAAATGATTCTGCGAGGGTACCAGAGGACTCCTGGCACCATAACCACTACAGTGGGCTGTATGTGTGTCAATCCATTCCTAAAAAAGTCACATATTAAAGTGAAGCTCTAACGACAGGTTTATGATAACATATAACAGCTCCCAAGACACTACATATATGACTTATCGCAGTGATAAAGTATATATTTGTGGCCTTGGAGTTGTTATATTGTTATTTTTCTGTTAATCTTCACTCCCAGTGCCGCCATCATTGAAGGTTATGTGTACAGTGCTGTCACACCCACTTTCCGCTGTTGCCCCTGTCTGCTGTAATTGGCCCTGCCTGGGGCCACATCCTGAAGCAAGGCAATCCTCACTACTGATAACTACCATGCTTGCTTCATTGCCAGCACACCAACCTGTCCCACACTCCTCCAGAAAACCTGCTGGGGGAGTACAAATATGATAGAGAGCACAGGACCCCTGCCACACAATCCACAGCATTTAATCCCCTGTACCACTTGAACACCGGTGGAACACAGAGTATTTGATTGACAGAGGGAGCTGCCAACATTTTAAAGTGATACATATTAAAATCTATATATTTGCTAGCATTTTTGCTTGAACATGTATAAGTGGTATTTATTGTTCTTGAAAATGAAACTAACTTGTGGGCTCATTGACAGGTACACTTTAAGGCTGTGGACGGCACCAGGAATCTCTACGCAACATAACCACTACAGCGGGCTGAATATCTAGCACTCCATTTAAAGTTTTCGTTATCCCTGATTCTCTACTTCTATATATGAAAATATTATATTTATACATTCTGAATCTTCTATTTATTAGTGCATCCTTTACAAAAATATTGGGTGGGCAAAATATATTACAGGTATTAGATATAATATGTAGAACTGGTTATCTGACACTATTTTAGACAGCATCTCAAAATACTAATTCAGAGTGACATAGATAGATTTTAAAAAAAAACAAAAAAACATGCTAGTGGTTATTTGTAAGGAACTGCTGCCTTTTACTGCCTCGCAGTATCCCTCCATTCTGAGTTCCTCACCATCCACAGTACCTGGTTTCTGGGTCTGACCCATAAAGGATCCTGCTGACTGTACAAGAAGGGAAGGGAAGGGGACATTTACTGTCAGGATCAGAGGAACAGACCGGACAAGCCTGGCACTGGAACCGGGAGCATACATGCAGATGAGACTTGATGTAGGTTTCATTTAGCATATCTTTGCAATGCAAAAATAGCCAGTGGAAGAGAAGGGATTACTCTTCTTCTAAACAATGGCCCTACCTCTGATGGATTCAATTAAACCGGAATAGGATTCCAGTTAAAGTGAACCAGTCATTCATAATTCAATTGTTACGCAAAGAGGGGTTTGTACACATATGTGCACATAAAAAACTATGAACTTGTGGCATTCCCTGAGAGCACTGTACACAAACATCACTTCAGCTAACAATATTATTAATCTAACAGACTAGCAAGATAATCAAACCAGCACTATAATGCTCTATTCATTCTTTAAAATAAAAGAAGAGCATGTCTTGTCTAGATGTCACTATTAAACTGCAGTTTTAATAAACAGTGATTCAGTTATGATTTGCAGATGCCAACTTGGCAAATTGGCACAAACTGACACTTTGTGCTAATAAGACACACACTGGAACACTTTATAAGAATACAGCACAGGTGAACTTTAACCTTAATCACAATCTATATCTTATATACAAAACCTAATTCTCAAAAAAAAATAAAAATTTTATATATATATATATATATATATATATATATATATATATATATAGTCTTGTGTAAAGATAGCACTCCAAGGACTTCAGAGTAGGTACGAAAAAAATAACTTAGCTTTTATTCAGCAACTGCCACAGTAGATCAACGTTTCAGTTCTGTATCAGAACTTTCGTCAGGTACAGAACTGAAACGTTGATCCACTGTGGCAGTTGCTGAATAAAAGCGAAGTTATTTTTTTCATACCTACTTTGAAGTCCTTAGAGTGCTATCTTTATACAAGACTATTATTTCGCTGACAAGCACCGGGCTATACATTATTTATTACTGGAGTGCAAGCATTAGACATTTTGTATTTATTAAAAAACTCTGTTAGTCCAATAAAAAAGGTATTACAAGATAAGAATTTTATCTGTTTTTTTACATCTATATATATATATATATATATATATATATACACACACATATTACAAATTACAAATCTGGCTTTTATTGTATATGTTTGTAGAAAGAAAGGACAATGCATTCCTATTTTACTCCTCATGAAACTACAACTCCCAGCATGCTGTGCATACTCACTCTCTGATTCCAGCTATTTTTTCTTCAACTCCCATCACCCTCTGGAGGTGGCCTGTCATTGCAAATGATGCAGGTCCATTCAAACAGGCCATGGCTGCAACCTTATGCTATTTATGTCCTGTTACCTAATAATGCAACAGACCCTTTAAATAAACCATCTACATACAGGAAATATGTCCGTTCAGCTCTACTCAGTGTGACTTATGATGTATTTGATGGGAGCATTTGATTGTATTTTTCATTTGTGTCATGGTACCAAGTGTGCAAGCACCTTCCACACGTGATGTTGAGAAAAATGAAAGAGCAAGGTGTGAACTATGGAACAGATATTATATATTTGATAAATGAATTTAAATAATGCTGCTCTAACAATGCAGTGTATAACATTATAATAAAAAATACACTTATTTTATATGAAATGTCACACCACAAACATCTAACAATTGCTGTAGTTGGAGCACCATTTGAAATCAGCCAGCCCTGCTTGCCTCCGTTTATATATATCAAGGGATTCAGGGATTTCCTGTGATAGTGTTCCAAGAGCAAAGCCCATGGGGATCCCTCCAGAAAAACCTGCCATTCCCTATACAATAAAAGAAACATGCATTCACCATTTTTTGCAGTTTTCATTTGACAAAATCTATAGCATCAAAAGAAGTATACTGCCAGTTATCCATGCCATGTAGAGTATGGGGCACACTTTACTGGGTAAGTGCTATACCCTCTCAGTGCTGAATCACAAACACACAGAACTTGCAGGTTGACACTTTGTATCTCATCACTCGGAATGTGGAATCATCATCAGCCCAAGTTTGTGTCAGCCTCCCGCCCTCTGTCACACTCCAGCTTGTATGGGTGCCAGTCCCTCCTTAGTATGGGTGCCCAGTCCCTCCTTAGTATTGGTGCCCAGTCCCTAGATATGGCTGGTCCCCTTACCTGGGTGGTGCAGGCAGAGCAGGGCTGGCTCCCCCAGGGGGTCCCGGGAAAAGTTTTGTCAGTGAGAGCCGGGAGTAGAGGAGAAGCTGATCAGTGGCCGGGGAGATGGGACTAAAATAGGCATGGAGAGGGGAGGCTGCTGTCCAGCACCGAGCACACTCCCCTTCCTAGCAGCGCCTGCAGCTCTTACTGACTGCTGGAGAGAGAGAGGGAGAGAGACAGGGGGAGGGAGGAGAGACAGACAGGGACAGCAGGAGGGAGGGGATGTTGTGGGGAAGGTGTGAGGAGGAGCAGGAGGGTGGAGAGAGCATGGGATGGAAACAAGAACTGGGAATGAGGATTTCTTGAAGGGAAATGGACTATAGAGTGGATACTTACAGGACTATTAAGAGATTGCTTCATTGTATCCCATAGTAGAGTGTGGTTGTGTACATGCTCTGTAAATAAATGGCAAATGAGTTGGGAGTTGCGAGTGGATTTCTCAGTGTGTAGAGTAAAGCATAATATTTCATACTCAAAATGTCATGAAATAATCAAAAGAAGAAAAAAACAGGTTTGTGCAGTATTGCCAAAATAGAAGAAAGGAACCTAGCGTGAGTGTGGTTGTATTAAGTATTTAGTGTAATATATTATTATTATTATAACTACTATTTTTATTACTCATAAAGTGCCTTCATATACTTCAGCTCTGTACAAAAGGTAATTGCAATAAGACACGCTGTACATACAGAAAGTGGTGGGGATTTTTTTCAAGTGAGATTACATTATCGGATTATTAAACTATATGTCAGTAGTGGGACATTTGATTTATTGAATAGCAATAGCACATGTCTGTGTTATGCAAGATTCTCCATGGTTGTATTGCTAATGTAGATGTAAATGATGCATAGTTTGGAATAGTTTTGGAAAACAAGATTAATCACAAAGTACTCAATTTATATATTTTATTTAAATTGATAAATAACTCAGAGCAATTCGTAAAGCTTCTACATTTTTTTCCTGTTCTTTAGCTTTATTTAAAAACGTAGAGCAGCCTAACCTTAATATAATTACTCTAAATGTATTCAAAGTTCATCACAATAGCTTTTAACTGGGGCTAACTTACAAATTAATAGAAATGTAAAGGTCTGAACAATTTTCTTTTCGTTTGATCTCCCAATACCTCCATCCAAAACACAGAGATATTAGTTTTAAAGATGGTTATTTCAATGGGTAGAAGTTTGACTCCAATGGATTTTATAAATTAAAACTTGTTTTATGGACAGGAAGTATACTGCAAGTACCCCTCCAATGTGTACGTATATAAAGGGGCATAATGAGGCATGGACTTTATTGGTAAGGTAAATCCACCAAGGAACTGGGCAGAGGGTGTTAGAAACTAATAGTGCCACATGGAGTGAACGAGACATACCCCTAATTGTATGCACATATATTAGGGTATTGCCACAGGCAGGGCCGGTGCAAGGATTTTTGGCTACACATGCGAAGATGCATGTTGCCATCCCCCCCAAATAAAAATGCATCTTCAGCGGTGTCTTGTAATTCCCCTTTTGAATATTATACCCCCTTTAGTGTATTGTATTTCTCTTTAGTGTGTCTTACACCCCCTTGTGTGTCTCTTTCTTCCCCCCATTCCCTTTGTTTGTCTCTTTCTTTCCCGCAGATCTTTTCACACACTCTGCCCTGATGACGGCGTTATAATACGCTGAAACGCATGTCGGGCTCGATTTATTTTAATATGCACTTTTGCACTTGTTACGTAGCACCTTTTTTTTTGTGTTACCTATTCATATATATAGGGTCTTTGGTTCAGGTAGGCACTAGCTTTGTGCGGTGCTGAGGTATTAGGGACAGATGCTAGTTTACTGGCTGTGGGGTATGGTGGTTATCAGTAATTAGGGGTATCCCGTGTTTATCCAGTACAACTAGATGACCTCTTTTTTGACTAGGAGATATAGTCAGCGGCCTTCCCCAACTTATGGTTTTAGTTGGTAGGAGACACCCTGACCTGTCCCGTGGTCAATATCCTTATTAAATAACTTTCCCCACAGAGACATGCAGACACTATCATATAGAGAAATAAAGACACAGTCATACATAGATATACAAACACAGACATACAGTCATACAGAGACATAAACGCAGTCATCCAGAGACATAACGATAAAGACAAACAGAGACATACAGAACAAGGCATACAGGGACATACAGAACAAGGCATACAGAGACATATGGCCAAAATCATACAGAGACATATAGAACAAGGCATACAGAGACATATGGCCAAAATCATACAGAGACATATAGAACAAGGCATACAGAGACATATGGCCAAAATCATACAGAGACATACAGAATAAGGCATACAGAGACATACGGACACAGTCATATAGAGACTTACTGACACAGGCTTACATACACAGCCATACACCGACATATAGTCATACAGAGTACAGAGACATACAGAGTAGGGGCAGATCCAGAACCTAATCTCGGGAGGGGAACGGGTAGTGGGTTGTAGTGGGGTGATAGGGGCTGTAATTATGGAGTTAGGGGCATAGTGGGGGGGGAGTCAGGGTTTGTAGTTGTGAGTTAGGGGCTATAATTGGGAGCTTAGGAAATGTAGTGGGGGATAGGGGCTGTAGTAGGGGGCTTAGGGCAGTGATGTATTGAGGATTTGGGCTACCCTCGGCAGGAGGGTACATTTTCCCTACCCCTTCCTGTCAATGCCGCACTTTGACAGATGCTCGCTCACTGACAGACGCACACTCACTGACAGACGCATACACTCATTGACAGACACACACACTCATATACACTGACAATGACATACACACACACTATTACTTGGACACACACTGACAGACACATGCACTCACTGACCGACACATACACACTCAGTGACCCACACACACACATTCACTCACAGACACACACTGACAGCCAGACACTGACACACTGACAGCCAGACACACACACAATCACTCAGACATACACACACAGCCAGAGGCAGAAGATTTGAATTTTGGACCCCCCCGTGTGGCGCCTTATGGACACGCCGGCCCTGACCACAGGACCATGGAAGCCAGGCTCTCAATTTTCTTTTACTTTACTGCATCCTCTTTCTAACACCACACTCCCCCTTCACAAACCTCCTCTGTATTCTATCCCCTTACTTACAGCACATTAGGTTTGTGGTCATTATGGACTCCTTTATTAATTGTACTCTCCCCAAATAGCAATATGCTATTGGGAACAAGCAAGTAGACAGTGTCATTCACACCTACTTTTTTCTTTTATTAACACACATTATTGCCCATTCTTTATAGCAGTAAGTACACCATTACAACTAAGCACCAACTAATTTTTGGGGAGGACAAACCCCTATTAATTGGGGTTTGTCCTCCCCAAAACTCTGCAAATAAAGATTTTTACTTACTTGGAATCCAGCTCCAGTCCCTGTCAGCCAACCATCCTACCCACTGTTAGCCTCTTCCCATCGAGCCCCTGTTAGTCAACCTCCATAGATAGATATATAGATAATTAGATAAATAAAGATAGATAGATAGATAGATAGATAGATAGATTATAGTTGCTCCAGCACGCAGAATAGTATCACACCTAGGACTAAGCATAACGTCTAACCAGACCTTAGACTGACCGGACTTCATCTACCTGAGAATAGTCAAAATACTTGTCGAGGTCAGGGACACAGAATGAGACGCAACGATGAGAAAAGCCAGAGGTCAAGGACAGCAGAAATCAGGCAAGTCAAAACAAAGCCAAAGTCAAAGTCAGTCTCTTGGATAACCAGCTAGTGGAAACCACGACAGGGCACTGACAAAAGGATAATTTGGGTTTAAATAACCTTCCTTAGGCTGTAATTGGCTGTCTCTGACACCCAAAACGTGCATGACATGACGTAGCATGCACGTTGGACGCCATCTTTGATGTGGGTGAAGGTAAGTTTCCTATAAAAATCTGAATCCGAATGTCGCACCCGCTGGGAACCGGAATGAAGAGAGAGATCGGGCAGCTGCCCGCCGGGACCAAGGTAAGTCAGAACCGGACTTAAGGGAAAACCTGGCATGGAAGGAACGGATTTTGCGGCCCACATGCACGCCTGAAGCAGAAACCTAAGAATGATCGGCAGGCCTATAACCCTTCTAATCAACCAAATACTGCAAAGACTCCTGAGAAAACCTGGAGTCGATCATAGAGGAGACTTCGTACTCCACCTGTCCAGAAAAAAAACAAAGGAGGGGAGGGACAAAAGGGGTGGTATACCTGTTACAGATAAAAGGCTTAAGGAGGGATACATGAAACGTATTAGGAATACGCAGAGAGAGCCAGAGAATAAGACACATGATTAATCCTACAAATTATTCTAAAGGGGCCAATAAACCTGAGTGCAAACTTCATGCTAGGAACCTTAAGTTTAATATTCCGTGTGAAGAGCAATACCCTGTCACCCACCTGGTAACCAGAGTTGGCACCAAGCTTCTTATCAGCTTGCATTTTGAAATGAGCAGCAGCTGTTTCTAAAGCCATATGGACCTTAGTCCAAGTCTCACGTATACATGTGAGATGGTCATCCAGAGCGGGAATAGCAGTGTCAGAGAATACCGCAGGGTGAACAGTAGGATGACGACCGTTGTTCATAAAAATGGACTATGTCCACATGAGTCATGGGTTGCATTATTTCTGGCGAATTCAGCCCATGGTAGCATATCAGACCAGTTTTCCTGAGTGCCATTAATAAAACATCTCAACTATTGTTCCAATGATTGGTTGGCTCTCTCAGCCTCACCATTGGTTTGAGGATGGTATGATGATGAAAATTATAATTCTATACCCCACTGTTCGTTAAATGCTCTCCAAAATCGTGACACAAATTGGGAACCCATGTCTGTCACAATATTAAGTGGAATCCATATAATCTGACAATATAAATATAAATATATGAGCCAGCTCTTGGGAAGAAGGTATCTTTTTTTTTTTTTATATATTTATCATTTTTATTGAGGGTTTAACATCATAGTATCACATAGTAGAATACAGTACATTGGAGCCATAAGAAAACAGGTACAGTAACAGATCTGAGTAGTAACAAATTTCCGGTTACATAAGTATTTAAGCGGTGCTTCAGGATGTCACTTATACAGTAACTCCGTAGGCTGTTCATTCCGTAACT